CCAATAGTGTGCATCTAGGGAAGTGATAGATGATGGCTCAAGTGCTTGAGACCCTGCCACCTATATTGGATACCTAGATGGAATTTCTGGCTCCTGGCTCTAGTCTGGCCAAGCTCTGGCTGTTGCGGATATTTGAGAAGTGAACCAGTACATGGAATGTCCTCTCCCTACCCACCTGCCGTGTGTGTGTGTGTGGGGGGGGGTGGATGTGAGTGTGTTTCACTCTCTGTCACTCTGCATCATAAATAAATAAGTTTTTAAAAGTAGATTCCACATACAAGTAAAATCATGGAATATTTTTCTTTCTGTGTCTGGCTTATTTCATTTATCATAAGGTCCTTAAGCTCATCCATGTTGTGGCAACTGGCAAGATATTCTTTTGGGGGGTTGAATAATAATCCCCTATATGTATATTCCAGAGTTTCTTTATTCATTCATCCACTAATAGGAAGTTTAGATTATTTCAGTATCTTGCCTACTGTGCGTAATGCTGCAGTGAATATCAGAATGAACTAGATATCTTTATGAAGTAGTAATTTCATTTCCCCTTGGTATACGCCCTGAAGAGGGATTGCCAGATCATATGATATTCTATTTTTAGTGTCTTTAGAGATCTTCATACTGTTTTCCATACTGGCTGTACCAATCTACAGTTCCATCAACAATGTACAAGGGTTCTCTTCATACCCTCACCAACATTTGTTATCTTTTAATTTTTGATTATAGCCATCCTACTGAGTGTGAGTTAGTATGTTATAGTGGTTTTGATTTGTATTTCCCTTATGGTTAATGGTGTTGAGTACCTTAGGACTCGTAAAACTGAGTAGTGGGAGGATAAGCCAATTTAAAAATGGGTAATAGTCCTGCATATACATTTCATCTCTAATTTTATCTTGACTTAGAAAGCTGCTGTTGGGTAACCTGACTCTGCAAAGGGGTTCAGAAATTATAAGAAAGTGACAGTTGTGTCTTACTGGAAAACATTTTAATATATAAACATAGTAGCTTTTATGTCCAATTATTATTGTTACTTCACATTCATACTCCTATAGGTACTGTAGTGAAGTGCAGTGTTTGTTTTCCATTTCATCTATAAGCTGTAAGCTCCTTGATGAACCTTGTACTCATAATTGTATTCTCTGTGTGTAATCTAGGTCCTGGCACATAGAAGCTCCATAAAATTTTTTTCTGAATGAATGATTTTCCCATATTCTCATAGTAAAATTAACTGCTAAGTAAACTGTTTGCTTACTGTGAGTCCTAGAGTATTCTAAGTAACATATATGTTATCTCATTTAATCCCACAATAATTCAATGAGGTAGATTCTTATTATCCTTATGTTGCTGATTGATACTCAAGCTCTGGAAATTTTGAGTGATTTTCCCAGTATATCTAAATTTGATTACTTGTCACCACTGCTGTGCTTCTATCCTCCTTCATATCACCATCACCACTTCCCAAATGTATTGTTCTCTAAATTTCAAAAAGTAGTTTGTAGAGTTATTGAGATCCTTTGTCTTCACAGTTCAATGACCAACTGCTGAGAAAGGAGTGTAAAATCCACAGCCATACTTATTGTGGAATTATCTGTTTCTATCTTTAGTTCTATCATTTTTGATATCATGTAAAGACTCTTATTAGATATATACGTATATATAATCTTTTAAAAAAATAAATGAAGCCAGACAATAGTAAAACAGTATATTTAAAGTACTAAAGTGGGCTGGCGCCATGGCTCACTTGGCTAATCCTCCGCCTGCAGCACCAGCATCCCATATGGAATGCCATGTTCTAGATTCGGTTGCTCCTCTTCCAGTCCAGCTCTCTGCTGTGGCCCGGGAGGGCAGTGGAGGATGGCCCAAGTGCTTGGGCGCCTGCACCCACGTGGGAGACCAAGAAGAAGCACCTGGCTCCTGGCTTTTGATCAGCGCAGCACTGACCGTAGCGGCCATTTTGGGGGTGAAACAACAGAAGGAAGACCTTTCTTTCTGTCTCTCCCACTGTCTAACTCTGCCTGTAAAATTAAAAATACAAAAGTACTAAAGAAGAAACCTGTCAATTCAGAATTCTATATTCGGAAAAAACTAAGAGAATTTGTCACCCCCACATCTGCAAATACTGAAGTAGGTTCTTCCAGTTTGAAGAGAAAAAAAAAAAAAGAGAGATGCAAACTCAGATCTTCAGAAAAGAATCTAAAAATCACTGTAATATTAATCATGGGGGGGGGGGGGATGGCACTGTGGTATAGCATTCCATATAGGTGCCGGTTCGAGGCCTGGCTACTGCACTTCCAATCTAGCTCTCTGCTATGGCTTGGGAAAGCAGTGGAAGATGGCCTATGTCCCTGGGCCCCTGTACCCTTCACATTCTTTCATAATGATGGCTATCATTTTGTGTTTCTATGTGTAGCACATCCTTAAGCATCTTTTGTAATGCTGGATGAGTGGTTACAGACAAATTCTTTCAATTTCTGTTTGTTATGGAAGGTCTTTATTTCACTTTCATTCATAAATGAGAGCTTTGCAGGGTGCAGTATTCTGGGTTGACAGTTTTTTTCTCTTAAGACTTGGACTATGTCTCCCCATTCTCTTGTAGCCTCTAGGGTTTCTGATGAAAAGTCATCTGTCAGTCTAAATGTAAATCCTCTGAAAGTAACCTGGCATTTCTCTAGTGCACATTTTAGAATCTTTTCTTTATGTTTTACTGTGGAAGGTTTGACTATAATGTGTCATGGTGAAGATCTTTTCTGGTCATGTCTTTTAAGAATTCAAGGTGTTCCCTGTACTTGGATGTCCCTTTTTTTCTCCAAATTGGGGAATTTTTCTGTATTTCACTAAATAGGCCTTCTAGTCCATTCTGTCTTTCTACACCTTCAGGAACTCCTAGGACCCATATTTTGGGTTGTTTGATAGTGTCCCATAAATCTCCAACACTATTTTTAAGTTTTCTAATTTCTTTTTTTTGTCTGACTGAAAGATTTCCAAAGATTTGTCTTCTAGCTCAGATATTCTTTCTTCTGTCTCAACAGGTCTGTTGTTAAGGATTTCCACTGCATTTTTATTTGATCTGTTGAATTCTTCATTTTTTAAAAGATTTTATCTATTTATTTGAGAGATACAGACAGAGAGAGGGAGAGACAGAGAGAAAGGTCTTCCATCCTCTGGTTCACTCCCCAAATGGCTGCAACATCCACAGCTGGGTTGATCCGAAGCCAGGAGCTTCTTCTGGGTCTTCCACATGGGTACAGGGGCCCAAGCACTAGCAACATCTTCTACTGCTTTCCCAGGCTGTAGTAGAGAGCTGGATCAGAAGAGGAGCAGCCGAGACTTTGACTGGCATCCATATGGGATACTGATGCCGCAGGTGGAAGCTTAGCCAATACACCACAGCACCGGCCCCCAAATTCTTCATTTCTAATATTTCATTTTGATTTCTCTTTAAAATCTCTGTTTAATAGGGAAATTTTTCATTAATGTCATGTATGGTTTTCTTTAGTTCATGGATTTGCTTCTGATTGCTTTTGAGTAATCCTGTGATTAATTTTTGAATTCCATTTCAGTCATTTGATCAGTCTCTTCCTCTTTACATTCTAATATTGAAATGTTGTTATCTTCTTTTGGGGGCATCATATTGTCTTCCTTATTCTTGCTTTAGAGTTTCTGCATTTATTTTTAGACATTTCTAGAGTTAATTTTTCCCCCCTTTGGTGGCTTTTATTTTTGAGCTATGCCTCTGTGGTATGTACCACATAGAAGGACCAAACAGAAGTGACCCAAAAGAGGGAACTTAAGAAGGAAGATAGGGGATACCAGAGATATGCTGAAACTTGTCTACACAAGTTCAGGCCATGTGGGGATGTATCTAATGTGAGTCTAGATTGAAAAACTGCCTGTCTGCAAATGGGATAATTGGACTTTAACCCAGAGCTAAGGAATGAAATATCTAGGAAATACCTACTAATGGGATCAGGAAATCGTGTTTATAGGAATTGAGACCTGGTGAGGTCAGCTTGACATTCAGTTACATGGTGGGAACAACACCCATCAAAATACTTCATTTTTAATCTTTTATCCTGCCTGGCTTGCTCAGGATAGAACAAAGAGCCGCCTGAAGGGTGGGAATAGGCGACTTGTTTACAGTAAACTGTGAGCTCAAAAGGATGGAATTGCTACTCCCTTGCTATTCTTGTGGTAAAATCAGATAATGAGGGGGGAAGGAAGAAGACTAGTTGGCAGACTGGGCCAGAGGTTGAGGGCATGGAGAAGGCCCGGTTCCCAAACTCTCATTTGCTTCTCTGGGTGGAGGGTGTTAGAAAGGATTATAGATAAAGGCAGGGTGAATAGATATGGAAAAGGGCTGTTCTGAGATAAGGGTGAGCAGGAGCTTAGAATTCCCAGGCATGAGAAGGGATACAGTGAGTGAGACAGTGAGACCAGCAAATGTAGAAGAAAGGGGTTTTGGCTGTTTAGTGGGAAACTTGGAAGCTAAAAGGAGAACATGAGGTCAGAGGGAAGGTTTAAAACAGAGACAGGTGAAGGATTGGACATAGGGAATCTCCTTCCACTTTTCTGAATGTTCACAGAAGTGGTAAATATCCTGAATAATGTGCCGTTAAGCAGCCATTTGGACTAGCTGTCAAGCTAGGAGACAGCTGAGAGGAGGGATGGAAGGAACGCAAGATGAGGAAGTTCCCATGGCAACCCGTGGAGTCAAAATCATTTCTGTGCCCAAAATCATGGCCATCTGACCAGGAGAGTATGGGAGTGGGGAGTGGGGTCATCACCCACATCCACTGGAGCCCAGGGCATGAAGCCTGTAGAAGAGAAATAGGGGATTGAGTTGTCACCCATAGCCACTGTTGCCTGGGACACAGAGTCTGTATAGGTACAAGGCTGTAGGAGCTGTGGTGCCTGGTACCAGGACTTCGGGGACAAAGTCACGTAGAACTACAACCCGTAGAAAGTCACGAAGAGAGGATCCTCCGCCCGACCCATCTTACCTCAGGATTTTGAAGGGCCAGCGTGTAGATGGGAATCACAGAGCATTCAATAGTGAAGGGAGGCCAGGGGTGAGTTTTGTGGTTGGCAGAAGTCCGGAATCCCAAAGCAGCTCAGATCCCCAAGGGGAGAGCAAGGTCGATGGGAGAGTCTGGTCCTGGGTTTTGGCACCAATGAAAGATCACCAGAAAACACACCAGACATCAGAGTAAGGGAGGTTTATTGTTGGGTGGCGAAACCTGACAGGCTGCCTTCCCATGCATGAGAGAACAGCAAGCCTATGCTAGAATAGGTCTTATATAGCTTTGCAGAGGTAAGGAAGTGGGAGCAGCAAATCCTGTTAGGGTGGGGTGGAGCTGACACTTGTGGTTGGGCCATTTGATCATCAGACTTCTAGTAAGCCAGGCTAAGCTTAGGATCAAAGCTTATTGCACCACATGGTGACAGGGCCAGAGCCTAAGATAGCACCTGGAGCTTAAGATGAAACCATTTTACTAATCGCCCTCCTTGACAGCAACTAGTTAATTTCCCCCTGAATAGCTGACTTCATCATAAAATCCATTTATGTTATATCCTAGTTCTTGAGATAAGTTTTATAAAGTAAAAATCTGTGGAGTCTTTTTATGTTAATGTACCCACACCATGCTTGGGCATGTGCCAGGAGAGGGTAACAGCTTAAGTTGAAAAACTGCCTAAGTACCAGGTACAGTACATACATTATATCACTTATACAATATTATATCATTTAATCTGTGTTATATTCATGTGAGGGAAACTGAGGTTTGGTTAAGTTACATGAACAAAATAACATTGCTACTAGGTAATAGTGCCAGGATTAAACAACAGATCTGTTTAACTGCATTGCATTTTGCTGATTATATTCATGTGTTAATATTATCATCAAAAGTTAGTATTAAGCCACTTAGTTATTGGTTTCTAAGAACATAAACAGAATTATGCTAGGCATTTCAAACAGAAGGAATAAAACCCATGGGGGTTTAGAAAGACCAGAGGTGGTACCCAGAATTCACAGGGTCTATACTGCTGAAGTTTCCAGGGGCTTTGGTGGTTGCTGCTCCTGCTGCTAATAAACTGTTATTACAGTTATCTTTCATGAGGCTAAGAATCTGCATTGTTACTGAGGCTGCCCACTACCCCGTGACTGGATTCATTGCCAAGATTGCCTGCTGTTACTGCCAGATCCAGAGAGAGAAAATGAGAAAAGATGACTTTTCTCTCCCTTCTGCCTTCTAGTCTTTCCACTAGATGTGCTTTGGCAGAATCGAACTGGAAACCAGCAAGTAAAGAAACCTAGAAATCTAATTTGCAGATTTTCAGCACCCTGCTTTAGAGGAGCAAGCTGAAGGGCAGGAATGAAACTAAAAGCCAGTTGTCCCAGGAAGTATTGTTATGGGTGAAAGGGTGGCAGAGAAAAGATTATCTCAGATCTTTGTCTCACATCCCACCTGAAATAAGAATTTCCATGTGGACAAAGCAGAGTGAAAAGCAAGATTTATTTAAGCCAGAAACCTCCTGCCAAGAGAGGTAGACTTGCTGCATTGTGTGGGTCTGAGTCATTCAGTTCTTTGAGGAAAGTAAAAAAACAGAGCAGGAGTTAACAATCAGAAGGCAGGGACAAAACCCATCAAAAAGTCAGATTTGTAATCCTAATGTCCTGTCTAGCTTGCCATGTGCTCTAGGCTTCCTGGCCTAGATGCTCCTCCACATGGCTGGTTCCTGGTGCTCGGTATGAACCCAGGTTTACCTCTCTCTCTTAATAAAGCTCTCACTGTCCTGTGCATCTTTCACACTAAATAAAGCTTAAAATGTACCATGATGCCTCATTTATCTGTGCCGGTATTTAAAATTCTTCTCTAAATATTAGGCAAGAACCCTCTTGGGCTTATTAATATTGGGGATTTATTAGTAAGCATATGGTGAAATCGTATGGCATCCCAAATTTTGGTAGCATATGTGGCACCCCAGATAGAACTTCTGGGGAACTTTAAGGGGCCACATTTGGTGAGGATTTTAGGGGGTCATTCCTGATTTCACTTTCACCCTGAGTCCATTCTATATGCCTCTGGGACAATGATATCCTTTCTTCTTCTTTAGAAATTGCAGCCCCATCTATCTTCCCTTGCCTGGTGGCTTGGAACTTGATAACCTACCCAGGACATACTTGCCAGAAACAACTTGTCCTCTGGACAGGTCTTCTGAGCCTCAGATCTTTGTTAAATCAACTGGCTTCTTGAACTTAGAAATTTTGAGAAGACTCCTTAAGTGAAATTTTTGCTTGACTATAAACAGAAGTTTTAATAACTTTGAACTCTTTTTTTTCTGAGTGTCAATGGAGGTGAGTCATGTGGGGTTCTTGTCTTCGCAGAAGAAAAAATTCAGGCGTGAGACAGCATAGTAGCAAGGTTTTATTGGGGACAGGGCATCCATCAGAACAGAAGGGACAGAGAGAGTGCCCAGTCACTCAGACGGGGGGAAAGTGAGGTTACATGGTTAAATGGAGAGAGTACCCCTGGCAGGCTGGGTGGGCAGCTCAGCCTAGAGCTGAGAGCTGAGCACACAGTCTGTTTAGACTGGGGCTTATAAGGGAAGGGTCTGGTTCCTTTCTGCCATTTCTGTTTACCTCCTCCCCGTTCTCCTCCAGGACAAAGGGTTTGCTGAGTGTAAATTAGGAAAATTTCTACCCAGGTTTACCACTGACGTTATCAGACAGGGGGAACTTCCCCTGTGCTGCCTACCTCAGAGAAAGGTGATAAAGTTTTCTTATTCTGTGGTATCAGGCCAGGTAACCAGGTGCTGGTATCAGGCCAGGTGCTGAGGAGAGAGAAGTGGGGGAAGTGCTGGGACTACCTGGAAGGTTATCAAGCTCTGGGCAGGACTTTGAAATGTAAAGACTGGGCTGCTTCTACAGTGGGCATCTGCAGAAGCCTTTTTCCTCAGGCCCCTCTCACACACGTAGGCTGATTTCTGACTTCCTACCTAACATCCAGGACAGTTTCCCAAGTGAACTTGTACTCTTGGCCCCTTCCAATTTCCCTGAGAAGTAAATAAAAAGCCATGATAGATACGATAGACATTCTCTTCCCACTTTGTGTGCACCTCTTTTCCTTTCATTCTTCTTCCAAAAGAATATTTTTTGGCCCACTCCATTCCATACTAAATATCATTATGGGTCTCATTTATTGAGTACCTGCTATGTACCTAGAACTTTATACATGTTATGTAATTTAATCCACATCAGAACCCCAAGAAAGTTCCATTACAAAGATACAAAATTTAGATTCAGAGAGGTCAAGTGGCTGATCCACTGAATCTCATTAATGGTAAAGCTGGTATCATAGCCCAAGCTAGCCTGGCTCCAAAACTTGTATTCTTTTCATAAAGCATGGAATCTGCCTTACCTTCCACGTGGGTACAGGAGATAAAAAAGAAGTCAGGAAAGAAGTAAGTAGACTTAATCAGGCTTCTTGCCAGGTTTTTGTCTAAGAGAATGTTTTAGCCAAAATAAAGGCTTTGACAATATAAACAATTAGAAAAGCAGGAATTTCCCATCCTTATGATTGCTTTAATCCTAGCATTTCAGGGTGAATTCCTAATAGTGATCATCATATTTCTGAATACTTTGGAATTTAGCCTCTGATCAGTTTAGTTTTCCAATAGAAAATGAAAAATTAAAATAAAGTTTCAAGAAATCACTTATCAGTTATACTGAGGCATGAAATTCCTTGAGTTAGGGATTTAGATTTTGTTTAGAGGTAGTGTTGTCTCCTGTTTAATAGAAAAAATTTGTGAGCCAAAAGAAATGTTTTAAGTAGTTGATCTACTATATGATGTTATAAAGTATTATTTTTTAAAAATTTTTTTATTTGAGAGGTAGAGTTACAGACAGCGAGAGACAGAGAGACAGAGAGAAAGGTCTTCCTTCCATTGGTTCACTCCCCAGATGGCCCTTGTGGCCGGCACTGCACCAATCTGAAGCCAGGAGCCAGGTGCTTCTTCCTGGTCTCCCATGTGGGTACAGGGCCCAAGGACCTGGGCCATCCTCCACTGCCCTCCCAGGCCACAGCAGAGAGCTGGACTGGAAGAGGAGCAACCAGGACTAGAACCTGGCACCCATATGGGATGCCGGTGCTGCAGGTGGAGGACTAACCTAGTGAGCCAAGGCGCCGGCCCCAAAGTATTATTATTATTATTGCTTTCATATAAAATAAAACTCAGAGTTAAATGCAATACATCCTAATTCTAAATTTTAGTTGTCCCTTATAACCTGCTGTCTCTATTTTTCAGTAAGTTTAATAAGGGTTTTTACACAATCATTGAAAAAATGCATCATCTGTTTTAATGTTTTTTTATTTGACAGAGATATGAAGAAGAGGGGACAGAGGGAAAGAGGGAGAGATATGGTGTTTAAATTTTAACTGAAAAGTGATCCCTGTTAGGAATTTGGAAAGCATTATGCTGAGTGAAATAAGCCAGTCCCAAAGGGACAAATACCATATGTTCTCCCTGATCAGTGACAACTAACTGAGCACCAAAAAGGAAACCTGTTAAAGTGAAATGAACACTATGAGAAACGGTGACTTGATCAGCCCTTGCCCTGACTGTTGATGAACAACTTAATACGTTATCCCTCTTAGTATTTTTGTTTGTTTGTTCTACTTAATACTTTTGGTTGAATACTGTAATCAATACACAGTTAGGGCCGGCGCCGCGGCTCACTAGGCTAATCCTCCACCTTGCGGCGTCGGCACACCGGGTTCTAGTCCCAGTCGGTGCACTGGATTCTGTCCCAGTTGCCCCTCTTCCAGGCCAGCTCTCTACTGTGGCCAGGGAGTGCAGTGGAGGATGGCCCAAGTACTTGGGCCCTGCACCCCATGGGAGACCAGGATAAGTATCTGGCTCCTGCCATCGGATCAGTGAGGTGCACTGGCCGCAGCACGCCAACTGCAGCGGCCATTGGAGGGTGAACAATGGCAAAAGGAAGACCTTTCTCTCTCTCTCTTTCTCTCTCTCTCACTATCCACTCTGCCTGTCAAAAAAAAAAATACACAGTTATTCTCAAGTGTTGAAACTTAACTGAAAAGTGATCACTGTTAAATATAAGAGTGGGAATAAGAGAGGGAAGAGATGTGCAATTCGGGACATGCTCAAGCTGACTTACCTCAAACGATAGAGTTAGAAACATACCAGGGGATTCCAATTCAATCCCATCAAGGTGGCATGTACCAATGCCATCTCACTAGTCCCGGTGATC